TGAAGTTAAATTCTGTGGTTATGTGGTCAGGTTCAGAAGCAATGTACCTACATGGGCAGGGGAAGGTTGGATGATTGACTCCTCTAATTCTAATGGGTTGGGATCACCACACAAATTTCTGGCACCACCAAAAATCCAATAGTTTAAGTGCACATTGGTTGACTCTACAAATAGTATTTCCTATATATGTTCAGTGCCAATATGATATACCCATTAGGTATACAGTGTAGGTAATACTAAAATTTATGTCTTACATTATCAACACGACCACCTTAGCAATGGAAAGTTGTACCAATCTGGTGACTCATGATTTTTTTTTAGCACTGTTAACAATTTTATACTGCATTCCATTTTATAATCTGGCAAATATCCTAACACTTAGACTTTAAGCTATCAATTATTTCTAGCTGATTTTCAAACAGCTTGTTTCTAAAAAGCACTTTTTAAAAAATTAAAGTATTTTTACAAATAAGTGTCTCAACCGACTTAGTGGTTTGAAACATGACAATAATCATTCAACTTGAAAGATAAAAAGTTCTCAGGTTCAGACTGTTTACATAGCCATAGTATAGAAAAAATTGCTCTAAAATTCTTGTAGATTTTCCGACCACTGTCATGACTTATTAAACATTTTTAAACTAAAAAACAAGTATGTAACTGAAATACTGATTTTAAAAAAACAAAACCATAAAACTTACTTTGTAATTCCAAGATCAGAAATGGAGAGATCTTCCTTGCTAGTGTCTGTATAAATAGTGTACTACCCACTAAAGACACGTACTATTATTTTTATTTACAGATGAACATGCAGAGAATTAAATGAGACTTACTGATTGTCAACAATTAAAAGTACTCAAAAATGGACCCATACTAACTCGTCCGAGTAGGAAAAACACCCCACTTCATTAAAATATTCACAAAAATAGTGCAAACAAAACAACTTAAAAGGAGTTATTCTCAGTTCTTCAGTAAAGCTACCAAGTGAAATTTGAGAATGTAGGTTGGAGATATTGAGCTTATATAGCTGGGACTACCGAATTTAAGACATTTTGTACCATTATGTACATTTTAAATGACATGGGTCACCATTCTGTTACGGAACCATAAGCTTCACACTATAAATCTTTTTCAATCATAGAAGGAAATAATTGCTTGTTATCTATCTGCTCTGAGCACAAGGTTCAATCTCTTTACATTAGAAATTATGGAATAAAATTTATCTTTACAATACTACGTTGTGCAATACAGTTAACCTGCCACCTAGGTGACTGTGAAAGCTGGCCGATTCAAAAATTACTTAAGATACCTAGAAACACTGATTAAAGTCATTTTCACTGGGTTTATTTTTGCATTTAAATAAATTCCCAGAAACATAATCAATTATAAAATGGCAGCATACAACTGTTAAGTGGCAGAAAACAGTAAGGCATAAATGAGAGTAAGAAAAATTATCTATCCTTCCCCATCTATGTTTATTACCCTACATTTTTTTCTGGATTTAATACTTTTCTTAATGTGCTGTATTCACCACTACTAGACCCAAACTGTAAAGAAACTGCAGAAGTGGAGAGTGTTCCATACTACGCTCACCATATGATGAGTGACAGGAGGCAGTGGGGTGCTAATATGCATTTGATGGGAGACAGGAGTTTGACTCTGGCTCTGCTTCTAAGTTATGTGACTTTGACCACATTACCACCTTTTTGAGCCTTAGTTTCCTGAGGATGGATATGAAGGAGTGGGTGCTGGGCGACTCCTAGATTACCTCTATGGTCTCTGACTTTATAGTAAACAGGCACAGGAGACTCATTGGGAAGGTGAGATTAGTGGTAATGGTCAGGATTTCAAATTACAATCATCCCCCTCCCACGCAGCTTCTCAGAATATGTTTGTATTTTAAAATCTTACTTCTAAGCTAGCTTTCACTTTACACGTGATTTGTTCTAAAACATACATGTGTTCCAGTAACATGATTTCAAATTAACATCATAGAGAAGAATTCCCCAAACCTGCAGATAATTTGTTTGTATTTCTTAATTGAACCTGGCATAGATAACATCAATCAAATTATTTTATTATAGAAAACAAGTATTTTCTCCCTAACTAGCTTGTCCATAAATCAAAGAACTTTTTAAAATGGAAGTTAGGAAGTATAAAAACAAAAAGTTGTTAAAGGATAAAGCGTGAATATTGCTGGCATATATTTCTAACAGCTGTATATCTGAAAATTTTTTTACATTAAATGCAATAATGCAAATGAATATTTAAAAATCTCTTAGAAAATGTGACGATGGTTTATGACTGACTCACCCCATTTTAACTACATCTTGCACAGGAAATCTGTTCTAAGACACCGAATGCAAAATTTGAACTAAATGAAATGTTTCTTCTTTGGGGCTAAATTATACCACTTAAAAGAATGGAACACAAATGTTAGAGGGTCATGAAACATTAATGGGTATGTGTATGTACAAAATATGTATGAATATACATAGAGATAAATGAAATCCTCTAAGTTGAAAGTTTTTCAAAACCAACTTTTCAAGTGTAACATAAGATTTCTAAGAAATCAGAGGGAGAGTTTATTATGTCTTTCACAGTTTTTGTTATAATTTGGTATTATCTGGGGTTTTTTGTGCTATGACTAAAAGCATGCTAGAGTTAGGTGCCAATAAATGTACAACTTGCTAAATTAAAAACAACCCTTCAGTCTCTTAAATCAACCTGGCAGTTTTACCATAAAGTGACTGATCTCCAGCCATGGCCAAGATCTCACCCCCTGTTAAGTATAATGCTTTTTTCTTTTCATACCCAAAACTTTGCTTTCCTTGTTATGTTATAGATCTTTACACCTCATTTATTTGGCTGCTTTTAATTCATTTATCTGACATCCCTTAGTTAAATTAAAAGATATCCAAAATATGTCTTTGTGATATATACATATACACACCATATATATATACACACATACACACATACATATATATACACAAATCAATAAATCTCTATTTATCAACTTTTAGCTTTTCTTCAGACTTTGGCAATGTTATAGATAACAGTTCAGGTTCTAGTTTTCCATTTTCATATGAGCTGAAAAATATTACACACCACCAAATTCAAACAAGCATCTCACTGTTTTCATAAAGATTCTAACAGAAAGTACCTTACAAAACCCGCAAAAATAAAAACCTCTTACAATAAAAAGGAAGGGGCTGGATTTTTAGGTGTGAAAAAAACGAGAAGCATTTTTCTGGTTATTTTATTTATCAAAATCTATTGGAATTTTAATCAGTAGAGGTAATATTTCAAACTTTGTTAATTAGGAGAATACTTGCTTTCTGTAAACTCAGTATATTTTTCTTTTACAATAATAAAATAAGAATGTCTAAATGTACAAAGCATTCATCGCTCTGAATATCGTGTGGAAGAATGTATAGCAATTCAAGTCATAATACACTGATTTTCAAAAACCAATATATTTTCTTCTATTTCAATCAAGCATTAGAGCCTGGGACCCAGATGAGGTCATAATGAAATTTTATCCAACCAAATCAGAACTAAAAAAAAAAAAAATTTCTAAAAAAACCAATAATGCATTTTCGTAGCCTCTTAGCAGTTACCAAATGCTACTTAATACATTCAACATCTAGCTTACTGGCATGATTTCAAAGATTTATAAAAATGAGAACTTTTGCAGATATATGATTAGAAGGTACACAAATTGCATTACATTAAACACAAAGGCAGTGTGGTCCTTGTAGGAGAAATCAAGTCAGTACCCCCTGGTAGAAATGTTCTATAAAAATGTGTCACATTGAAGCGTCAGTGTTTTCAGCCAATTATCTGTCCCTGATGTATTTCCTTGGAGTATATGACCTATCAGGACTTCAGGTTTCTTAATCCAAAATATCTGACTGAATTTAGGTACATCTAGAAAGCAGCTGAAAGGGTTTCTCCAATAGTCTGACATCATAGAAAGTGGGTCGAGAAATCCCTCTCTTTACCTGAAGACGTACTTGTTCTACTTCAGTCATCATCAGCTCACAAAGGAAAAGAAAAAAAAAAAAAAAAAACTTCCCCTCACACAAACAATCCCACACAAGCTAAACAGAAACTGCCCCCTCCCCCCATAAAACCCCAGCACCGAAGTGGCAATCATTCCTGGGAAATAGAACAAGCCCCTTGGATTCTCTGATTTATTCGCTGTTCAAACTCAAAGGACAGAAATGACCTTATGTCCTGTGGGGAGGAGGGAAGACATGTTAATAATGACTATAGAGCCATTGAGAAAGTGCATTATCTATTACACAATCAACTTAGAGCCCTGTCCTCCAAAAGAGGTGGCCACAACTTGATTCAAATGCCTCAGTAATTGAACATTGTATCCTCGAGATAAAGGAGATGGGGGAAAAAAAGAGCCACCCTCATTTTAATGAAAAGGTGCAGCAGTCTACCACCTTTCCCCATGCTTCTCAAGAAAATGATTGCACAGACTCAGAGAAGTCCAAAGTCATAGCAGAATCTCTGAGGCACTCCTGGTTAAGAGAGAAAAAATATGATCCAGTTATCTTCATAGTTCTACAGATAATGAGAACAAACCCGTTTTTTTTTTTTTAAACAAAAGCCAAAGTATCATTCATAGGGATCATATACACCATTTCCTCTAACATAACCTCAGTCTCACAGTGTTGAAATGGGACTGATCAGCCTACGATGGATTGCACATCACCCAAGGAGAAAGGAAGGTGTGGAAAACGCAAACATTTTCTACTGCTTCACAAACACGTTTACAAGGAACAGGTGAAGAGAAGATATAGGAAAGAGAGAAAAGAAAACCTTATTGCTGTTTCCATACAAAATACAGTATGAAGATACCTAAACTAAATCAGATCTGTTTATGATGACCAATGTTTTCACAATGTGGGATGAAGTGTCTCCTTGAAGCACAATGAAATGTTCGGTCTAGAAGATAAGCAGAAAGATGAGAGAGGATATCAAGACTACACCTGGGATATCAGCTGCATATTGAAGCTTGGGGATCGAGACTGCTTGGATAAGGGAGCTCCCGGGCTGAGCAGCTCTTTCCCTTCTCCAGCTTGACCTAGGCGGTCTTCCTGTAGACTGATAGTTGAGTATCGATTAGCATTGTTAGCTGCTAAATTAGTAACACCCTCAGTGCCAACCCCAATGCTGGTACTTGCTTGACTGCCATTTACATAGTCAAACGATTTACTTGAGGAAGCACTGGCTGTCCGGATTAGATTAATGCTATTAGTTTTTGGCACCACCTGGCCAGCAGGCAGGCTCAGGTGTTTCTTCATCGGTGTCAGCTCAATTGAATCTACACTAAGATCAGTTGGTTGCTGTACATACTGCCTGCGAACTACTGAATCTCGAGGGCTCTCATTGGATTTGATGGCAGAAGTTGTTTCTTTATCCTTGGCTGAACGCCCAGTTGCTACTTTCCTTAAGCTTCCCCTCTGAGAAGAGGAGGATGGTTTGGTCCCAATTGGCTGGCTGCTGAGGGAAGCCCCTGATGAAAATCCTTCATCTGCATCATTCAGGTTTACCGACTCCTCTCCTCCATTTATACCCTCAGCACCTAAAAAACAAATCAGACAGACTCAGCAATAGCTAAATTAAATAAGCAGCAGCCGTGAATAACAACTCAACTGACCTTTTCTCTTAGGTAATGTTTGCTATAGGTCAGCAATGACCCTTGCTACCATCACTTTCCCTAAATAATTTAGGGGAAGGAGCCTCAATCTATACAGAATTCTAACATTATTCATTCTGTTCATTTAGCTTTAATTAGGCTAGCTTATGTAAAACTATTCACAAACAAGTCGAGCATACTATTAATATCAACACACACACAACTTTTGGTAAAATACAATACTTAGTGATTGTAAATCTTTATGATAGACCTTGTTAATTTGAGGTGAGTATATCTATCTAAAAACACAAAAATTTTCCTATCTTCCTTAATCTATCATAAAATAGAATTTGGAAATGAGACCGTTCTAATTTCAGTCACCCAGAATAATGTCAAAAACTCACCCCCAAGCCCCTTTTAACTACTGTGAAACTTTATATTTAACAGCTAATTGCTTCTAAATGGCTTTAAAATCTTTAACATGGAACTCGTACATTTTCTAACTCTAAACTAAAAACTCTACATTGCTTCTAGTAACTTCAGTCATATTTTGTCTTATGAACATGCCTACTCACTGGTTTCCATATTTTCTTGATCAGTTAATGTGAAAATATTTGATTATCAGAGAACAAAGGTAAGAACCAACAAGGATACTGAGGAAGAATTTTTTTATGATTTTATAATATAATAAATAATATATAATAATTTTATGTTATATAGTTATATAATATTTTAGATTTTAAATATTGAGATATATTATTTGGGGATCACAAAATACTTATAGTATTCCATTAAGTTTCATGCAGAAACTGCAGTTAACAAAAGAATTCTTATCTTGGGATTTTGTAAGAAAAGAAGCACGTATTCAGTTTGGGGTTTCCAGAAAGCCCAATTCCTTTACTGAAAGTATGATCAACACTCTCCTAGAAAATAGAACATTTGCTTCTTTCAAAAGCTGACAGAAGTTTGCTACCTTTAAAATATGTTTACCAGATTGTAAGAAAGTTCAGTCTGAATCTACATACAGATATCAATATTTTAGCTAAGGTAAACTGTTAGGACAGAAATCCAAAAAAATATCACTTTGAAATACAAGTTACCTAAGTAAAATATACACAAAATAGTTAAACACAATCTTTATTTAACATAGTACTTGGAAAAATATAAATATTTTCTCATATGGATTAGTTCTTTCCTTCAAAAGAAGAATGAAATAGCCTATCCTTAGAGCAAAAGGCATCTTCTTGTTATATCCAGCAGTTTAGTAATCTTTATTCATCATGCAAAGCCATATGAAAATGCAGCTGACACCACTTCTCTCAACCCCTTCCTCAAGAACAGTATATACTGTACATCAAAACAAAAACTTTAAATTATATTTATATGACATCTAAGCAATTTATTTATAATTACTATGAAGAACTCCACAATGCCCAGGAAAAGATAGTCACTGGTTCAGAGTTAATATCAGTAATATAAAACTAGAAGTGAACAGAAATATGTCATTGGCTATACATATGGTTAGGAAAAGAGACTGAGAGACTTAGTGCTAGCTTCTGAATTTTGCCACATGCAGATCTGATGCCCAAGCAATATGGCCATAAAAGAGATATGACAACGTAGAAACCACCATGCAAGAGAACCTACTGATATTTTATATACTAAGAAATGCTGTTTCAGTATAGTGGAACACTGAATATACTTTAATCACAACATAGTCCTCAGTTTAGTAATAATTTTAAATACAGCTTTAAAAGTTATAAATGTTACTTAACAATCAGGATAAAGGCAGGTGATGAATTCTCCCTTCAATTCCAACACGTAATAAAATACAACTTTAACTGTAAAACTGTTTAAAACCATTAGAAAACATGTTTTCTTTTTTCTTTTGGTTGCACCACATAACTTGTGGGATTTTAGTTCTCTGACCAGGGATTGAACCTGGGTCCTCAGCAGCTGAGAAAGCAGAGGCCTTAACCACTGCAGTGCCAGGTGAAATTCCCTTCTTTTTCTTTTAGAAGATCAATTATTGATGCTAATCCAAAAGCTCCAGCTGACTTCAGAATTACCAAAACTTTTCATTAGTTTTAATAATTTCCATACTTCTGTCTAAAAAACCTCAAGGAATAAAAAGGCTATTGTGTCTAATAACATTTTCCTTTCTAATTTTCTCTTTGGGTGATAATACTATTAATGATCCAAAGATGAGACAACCAAACGGGTTTTAATGAACTTTCCTATTCATGTTTGCTTTTCCTTATAAATTAGACTTTATTAATACTGATTTAAAGCTATAATTAAACTAGATTAAAAGGCAAAATAACTTGAGAAATTTCAAACACACCAATGGGACTCATCCTTTTCCAAATGGCTATACCCCACCTTCACAAACCGAAATTTTACCAGTAATAGGAGATATTAAAACAGGATTTTTTAACATTTAATAGGACACTTTAAAGGAATTACTATTTTTTACTTTTTCAAAGTGTATGACTTATGATTAATAGGAAGAAATGATTCTACCCAATCCCATTCTTCTTAAAATTTCATCAATGTTAGTGAATATTGTACTATATTTAGCATGGATACTCTAATATTCTAACAATAGCAGTAGATACACTTCAAGTGGCTCATTTAGTCATCAACAAAGTGGAGAAACAGATATTGATCAGTTTAGGCCAACTCTGAATTTGACATCTATTCATATACTTATTTTTATGCCTTATACAAGATACTGACTCCCAGGGATAACATAAAGAGATACAGAAAAAATGAAAAGGAAATGCTGTGTCTTTCACACGGTTCTCTTCATAGTACCAACTTCTTTGGGTCCCTAGATCATGCACATGCAACACTGTTAAATGAAGTCAGGTCACTCTGGGCAAATGGGCAAGGGAACAGAAGGTAGATTTAGATTCTTACTGAGCATGCTCAAATTTTTAACACACCAAAGAGCAAGAGATTTTCCTAAAGTGGAATAAATAAAAATATGTAACCTATTTTAAAACTACTTGCTGTATTTCATAAATTAGTGTACAAGTTCTATAGCAGCAATACATTAAATAATGAAAAAACTATTAGGCCACAGTTTCCTCTTTCATAAAACCAATTTCTATGGCATCACATGTTAAACAGTAAATAAATACTTTCCTATCAGAGAGAAGTGTTCTTTTACAGATAACGATCGTGGCTGTGGTGGTGTTGGAGGGGTAAAAAAAAATTCTCATTTGAGATACCCATACTGTATAAACAAGGATCTACTAGGATTTATGGCTTCTAAATAATACATTTCACTTCTGTTTGGGATCGATATAAGATAATCATTATTTACAATAAATGATAAAAATGTAGTGTGCACCAGGAGAGCACATTTATAGAGGAAAGATGTCAGTAGTTCAGGCCCAGGCAACTTGATTTGAAGATTACAAGAAGCCAATCAATACTGGTTTATTCTGTCAAAGAGATAAGAAGTTTTTGTTAATTGCCACCCTGGGACTAGAGACAAATCGGCCAGCTCCATTTCAGTCCCATTTCTCAAAGATAATGTATTAAAGCTTTAAAACTCTCCTCACCTATTTTCCAAATAGTACATTATCAAATAAATGAAATTGATACATACTGAACAATAAGGCTCAGGTCCATTGGGTGCATTTTTCCTTTCCTGATGTTAGAATAAACATGCTCAGTAATGAAGAAATCCCAAGCATTTGCAGACCTTTCGGAGACAGGCCTCTCCCTTGTTAGTAGCCATGCCAAGCTGCTCTTTAATTATACCAGGATGCAGACTCCAGGCCAGCACAAATGGTAACTGAAGATTGTACCTGACCTGGTGCTAGCAAAAGGGGGGGTGGTGCGCTTTGCAAGGAGAGTCTAATACACCCTGGGATAGTGGAAACACACACTAGAATGGAAAGATGTTCTGCTTGGGGACAGAGCGCCAGGATCCTTCTCCAGCAACTGCCTCACTGACTTCTGCCTCCTCATCTCTGTCCTACCCTCTGTTGTGGCTGCTGCTGAGTTGGGCTCCGGCGAGCCGTGCTCAGGAGTCCTGTGCACCAGCACCTCCCCCTCTTGCACACGTTTGATCCCTAGGTCAGTGGAGCCGTGTTGGATCGGGGAGCCAGGAATACTCGAGTCAGCCTCGTTTGAGAAGTCAAAGCCATCTGGGATTCAACATATAACATTTTAGTGCTTTTTTGCTGCTCTATTCTTTTCTGAGCATTTTGACCCAGGCAGGTAAGAGAATGTATATATGGATATGACATAAAAACAAACATTATTTATATAGTTACATGTGTGTGCACAGCATGCACACACATAAGGCAGCAGATGAACAATGTGAGGTTTGCAAATGAATAGGAGAGAAAAATAGAGATCATTAAAATGGCAATTAATCTCTCTTAGGCAAGGCAGCTTGACTGTTCAAGCAGCATATGCTATGAAATGCCGCTGGACTCAGCGCTTACAGGACAAGGAGAAGAAAGGTAAGGACCAGCAGTTTACGCAGGGCTTGTGTTATACCGTTGGTACGGCCAGTTACGTAATTTTCTCCCACACTGCTCATACAGGTACCTTTGTTTGGAAACAGGCTTAAAGAAATTTCTTTTCTATTGTTATTACTAGTTAAAAAAAAATTAACTTGATCTCATTTTCTGTTTTAACATTCAGAGAACAGTTTAAATAACATCTTTCTACTTTATAAAATATATATACATATTTATATTAAAATGAATTCAGGTATACAAACCACATTTCTAGTGCTATTTTTAACAACTAAACAATTTTACTTTAACTACATAGAGTACTATAACATCATGTATAAATATACTGTGTAAGAACAGTGATACATTTACTTTAATCCATGAGTGGGCTACAGGGAATTTATATTCACCTTCCCTCCTCCATCTATGGCGACGGATTGAAGCTGTTGTAATTGCAGTCCGAGAAATCCTCGGCACTGTTGGAGTGACTTCGACTTTAAGTACTTTCTGGCCTTCTTGTGAAGAATCAGGAGCATCAAATGGTAATGAGTTTTTCATGGCATTGGCAACCTAAAATGATAAGTCTATATGTACTTACATCCAATATACAATTTATGCTTACTGTACATTTCATGCTTCCATACTATCTTGAATATATATTTAAAAGTTGTTCTACAAAATAGAAAAGTATAATGTGTCAGAAATGTTTATATTTCCACTGGTCTGTATTCTTTTAGGTAGGCTTTTAAGATGAGAATTCATTTAAAAATATGAGTCACACACCCTCATGGACTCTCTGAAGTTGCTGGCTTTCAAGGAGAAAATACATTCCAAAGAGCTTTTAACATTTGAACCCTGATACAAGAAAATTTGGAATAAGTTTCTTTCTGATTCTTCAGATGATAAATAACATGCAAAATTTATAATAAAAAAATTAGCTTTGTTTTCATGAGGAGACATCTTCCCTAAACACGTCTGGCACTTTGTTCCACCAAGTTCTGCCCTCTGTGGAGGAGAGTGAGGTAATCTAGCTGGAAAGCAACAGTCACTGGCTGCTCCATGATTCCTGACTGAGTAGTGCTGACCTAGCAAAGATCTTGAGCTAGAGGACCATCTTTCTCCCTCACTCTCCACTTGGACAGGACAAGTGAAATGCAGCAAGCTGGATACCCCCGTCTGCTCTGCCAACTCAAACCTCTCCAGTGGGCTGTTCCAACATCTAGACTAAAGGGTAGGGAGTGAAGTCTTTCAATCTAACCTTAATCAGCAATAAAGGTGGTACTTGTTTTTCTATCTACCAACTATTTTATCTATTTATCATCGGCTCTATTTTTGAATAGAGAAAAGGAATGTCATTTACTGGGTCCCTTGGAGACCCATAACAATAAAGGATTATTCTAGAACTATAGATTATGAATCTCTTTACTTATATTGCCTTGGAAATGCCACTTCTACTTAATTTATAAGACTTACAGGGATAAAATTATAAATTTAAAGAGTCTTGCAAATGCAAGGTATTATTATCAAGATGTAACTTTTTTATCTTCTTGTCCACTTGTTTTCTGTTTTGGGTCACACTGTGCAGCTTGTGGGGGATCCTGGTTCCCCAAACAGGGATGGAACTCATGCCATTGGCAGGGAGAGAGCAGAGCCCTAACTAGTACTGTCAGGGAATTCCCTACGCAATCTTTTTTATTTTTTACAGTAACCTTTAGGGTAAAATTAGGGATGCTGACATGAGGAAAAAAGAAAATTCAAATATGAAAGAATTAATATAAATGTTACTTCAATAAATTTATATTTAGCTTAAACTATAAAAAAGATATGAAAAAATGACTCAAAAATTATACTCTTAAATTGTTGCAAGTAAAATTACATAATTAAAAAATACAACTCTAAAAATACTAGGAAAAGTTTAGAAAACACAGAAAATTGCAAAGAAATAAAAACTATCCACAGTTGAATCACCTAGACTATTAATATTTGTTATTTTTCCTTTGTCCTGTCTAGATTAAAAAGAAATAGCTGTATACTACTTTACCATTAACACAGCTAGCATGTTCCCTTAATATTAATTTTCAAATATATAATTTCATCAAGTAAATAACATAACTTAATGAGTCTCTGTTGTAAAATAATGTTTATAGTTCAGATTCCTTTGCATTTAAAGCAAACCTTGATCTAGTGTTCACAATTCATTTTAAAAAGTTTTAAATAGTTTCTTGGGAAATGTTGGTAAAGATGGGATAGTAGCTCAAAGAAAACACATATACATTACCAAAAGGACGTGCAGAGTTATGTCATACTGTTACTGGTAACATAGAAAATGCCTTCCTCATCCTACTACTGGACGTTCAAATTTATTTTTTGATTGATCATTTACCTTTTGGAGATATAGTTATTTTGTGGAAGACTATGAAATTTTTATATAAAACTAAATATTAACTTGCTTTTTTGGTCATGCCCGTTGATAATTAGTTCATATTAATTTCGGTTTTAAAAAACTGATGGTTTACGGACTTCCCTATAGGTCTAGTGGTTAAGACTTTGTGCTTCTCAGCAGAGGGTACAGATTTGATACCTGGTCAAGGAACTAAGATCCCACATGCTGTACTGCATGGCCAAAAAATAAAACAATGCCCCCCTCTCCCCTCCAAAAAAATCAACCTTTTTTGGTGATGTGTTCCATCACTTAAATATAGCCTTTCCTTCTCCAGAAATTTGAGCAAATATTTATAGCCTCTCTTCTTTCTTTTATTAAAGGATTTCAAGACACTTAATTCTTTAATTTATTTGAACTTTATTTTGCTATGTTGTAAAAGAAGAGGATGTAAAACAATTTTGTTTCCTTTCCAAATGTTGGTATGGAATAAACCTGTTTTCCCCCTCAATGATTAGTACCGCCTCATACATTACATACTGAATTTTATACCAGTAGTACCCTTTTTAGGCACAGGAAAGTTTAACAAAAAGTAAATATAATAACTTACCAATAGTGGTTGAGAAAAGAGTTCTAATTGAGCTCTATAGATGATGTCATCAAGGACTTCCTGGCCAAGGTCCCACTGTCCGTTATACCTATGGAGAAGCAAATTACAGTCTCTAGCAAATATCTCTCATTTTCAATAACAATCTTTTTTATTGATCCAAGTCCTATTATTTTGGTTCTGTAACAAGATTTTCACATAAATTTTTGCATCATGCATTTCTAAACTATCCCACTTTTGGCTACAAGAACAAAAAGAAAAATTCAAATATTAACATTTAAAATACTTCACAGATATCTCTTCAAAATAATTGGATTTTATCATGTGTTGATATTTTGGGTTATCTATTTGAATTCATGAAAATCTGGGTTATGAACTATATGACAGTATTTAGACTTCAGTTTAATGACTAGCTATATTTTAAAAGTACTGAAAGGGCTATGAATAATTATATGTCAACAAACTGGACAATCTAGAAAATGGATGCATTCCTAGAAACATACAACCTACCAAGACTAAGTCATTAAGAAATAAAAATCTGAACAAACCCACCACTGTACCCAGAGGAAATTGAATCAGTAATCAAAAACCTCCCAATAAGTAAAAGATGGTCCCAATAAGGACCAGATGGCTTCATGAGTGAATTCTACCAAACATTTAAAGAAATAATATCAATCCTTAAATTTTTCCAAGAGTGAACACTTCCAGTCATATTATGAGGCCAGCATCACCCTTATACAAAAACCAAACAAGGACACAATAAGAAAAGAAAATTACAAGCAATATACCTCTGACAAACATAGCATAAATGCAAAAATCCACAGCAAAATATTAGCAAACTATATTCAACAACTGATCACACACCATGATCAAGTGGGATTTATTTTGGGATGCAAAGATGGTTCAACATCTGTAATTTAATCAATTGTGATACACCATATTAACAAAATGAAGGATAAATCCTTCATCATAATAGCAGATGTAGAAGAAGCACTTGACAAAAATCCATTCATGATTAAAAAAAAAAAAACTCTCAAAAAAGTGGGTACAGAGTAGATGTACTACAATAAAGGCTGCATATGACAAGCTCATAGTCAACAACTACTCAACAGTGACAAATGATCAAGAAGAAGATCTCTCTAAGATCAAGACCAAGACAAGGATGCCCACTCTTGCCACTTTTATCCAACACAGCACTGAAGTTCAAGCAAATAAAAAACAGAAGAAGTAAAATTGTCTCTGTTTGCAGAAGACATGATATATAGACAGTTTACCCGTGAACAACATGGATTTGAACTGCATGAGATCACTTATATGTGAATTCTTATCAATAAGAACCAACTACTGTAATACACAATCTGTGCTTGATTGAAGCCTTGGATATGGAAGGCTGACTATATATAAAGTTATACTCCGATTTTCAACTCTGCAACTGGCACTCAAACCCATTCATTGTTCAACAGTCAACCATAGAAAACTCAAGGATACACCAAAAAAACTGTTAGAATAAACAAATTTAGTAAAGTTGTAGGTATAAAAACAATATACAAAAATCTACTGCATTTCTATGCACTAATAACAAACTATCAGAAAGGGAAATTAAGAAAACCATCCTATAAAGTCAAGTCGCTCAATCACATCCGACTCTTTGCAACCCCATGGACTATACAGTCCATGGAATTCTCCAGGCCAGAATACTGGAGTGGGTAGCCTATCCCTTCTCCAGCAGATCTTCCCAACCCAGGAATTGAACCAGGGTCTCCTGCATTGCAGGCGGATTCTTTACTAACTATCAGGGAAGCTACTAGTAACAAACTATCAGAAAGAGAAATTAAGAATACGATCCCATTAACAACTGCATAAAAAATACCTGGGGGAAAAAATACCTGGGAATAAATTTAACTAAGGAGGTGAAAGACCTGAACACAGCACACTTAAAGTTTTCATACAAGACTTCAATGAAAGAAACTGAAGAACACACAAATAAACAGAAGGATATTCCATGCTCAAGGACTGAAAGAATTAAAATTGTTAAAATGTTCACACTACCCAAAGAAATCTACAAATTCAATATAATGCCTATCAAAGTTCAGTGACATTCTTCATAGAAATAGAACAATCTTAGAATTTATATGGAATCACGAAAGACAATGAATAGCCAAAGCAATCTTGAGAAAGAACAACAAACCTGGAGACATGATATTTACTAACTGCAAACTGTATTAAAATGCTTTAGTAATCAAAACAGTATAGTACTGGCATAAAAACACATATAGATCAAAGGAACAGAATGGAGAGCTGAGAAATAAACATATATATATGATCAATTAATTTAAATATGAGAATATAAAAAAGGTAAAAGGATATTATTTTCAATAAATGGTGCTGGGATAACTGAACAACAGCCACATGCAAAAAGAGGGAAAGTAGACAACTGTCTCTTATCACACATCAACTAAAAATGGATTAAAGACTTCAATGTAAGATCTGAAAACAAAAAACTCCTAAAAGAAAACAAAAGCCCCTTATTGCTTATAAGATGAATGCTGGACATTGGTCCCATCAATTACAAAATGAAAAGGCACTTTTGGAAAGGGAGAAAATATCTGCAAATCATATATATGACAAGGAGTTAATATAAAAAATATAACAACAACTCATACAGGTCAATACAAAAAACCAAGTAATCCAATTAAAAATAGGCAGAGAACTGAATAGACTTTTTCCCAAAGAAGACATACAAATGGCCAACAGGTACACAAAAAAAGCACTCTATGTCACTAGTCACTAGGGAAATGCAAATTAGTATCATCTCATGTCTGTCAAGAATGGTTAGTATCAAAAAGACAAGAAATAACATATGCTGACAAAGACATGCAGAAAAGGGAACCCTGTGCATTACTGGTAGAAATGTAAATTGGTGGAACAACTATGGAAAACAATATGGAGATTCCTAAAAAAATTAAAAATAGAACTACCATATGATCCAGCAATTCTACTTCTATTATGCATTGAAAGGAAACTTAATCACTCAAAAAGATATCTCGCACCCCCATGTTCACTGAAGCATTATGTACAAGAGCCAAGACATGAAAACAATCTAATTGTAAATTAACAGATAAAAGGATAAAAAGAATATGGCATATATGTATACGTAAGTATGTTTAAGGATTGCCGGAAGAAATATCAACAACCTCAGATATGCATATGGTATCAATTTAATGGCAGAAAGTGACGAGGAACTAAGTGCCTTCTGATGAAGGTGAAAGAGGAGAGAGAAAAGGCTGGCTTACAACTCAACATTCAAAAAACTAAGATCATGGTATCCGGTCCTATCACTTCATGGCAAACAGAGAGAAAATGTGGAAACAGTGTCAGATTTCATTTTCTTAGGCTTCAAAATCACTGTGGATGGTGACTGCAGCCACAAAATTAGAAGACGCTTTGCTCCTTGGAAGAATAGCTATGACAAATCTCGACAGTGTATTAAAAAGCAGAGACATCACTTTGCTAACAAAGGTCCATATAGTCAAAGCTATGGTTTTTCCAATAGTCATGTATGGATGTGAGAGTTGGACCATAAAGAAAAATGAACACTGAAGAATTGATACTTTTGAACTGTGGTGCCAGAGACAACTCTTCAGAGTCCCTTTGACAGCAAGAAGATAGAACCAGTCAATCCTAAAGGAAATCAACCTTGAATATTTATTGGAAGGACTGATGCTGAAGCTGAAGCTCCAATACTCTGGCCACCTGATGCGAAGAGTTGACTCACTGGCAAAGACCCTAAGGCTGGGAAAAATTGAGGGCAAGAGTAGAAGGGGGTGACAGAGGATGAGATGGTTGGATGGCATCATTGACTCAGTGGACATGAGTTTGAACAAACTCAGGGTTTTAGCTATCAACAGAGAAGCCCGACATGCTGCAGTTCATGGAGTTGCAAAGAGTCAGACATGATTGAGCAATGGAACAACAAATATGTATTAAACACACAGATGAATGGATAAAGAAAACATGGGCTATACATGTATATATGTGTATAAATATATTTATTATACACACACATGATGATGGATAAAGAAAATAAGGTGTGTGTGTACACATAAGTATATACATAACTTATTATACACATATTATACATACAATTACATACACACAATAGAATATTATTCATTTAAAAGGAGGAGGAAATCCTAGGACTTAAGACTCCACACTTCCAATGCAGGGGGCATGGATCTGATCCCTGGTTGAGGAAGTCCAGCATGTCACATGGTCAAAAAAAGAGGAAATCCTGCCATTTGTGACAACATGGATGGATCCTGAGGGCATCATGCTAAGTGAAATAAGTCAGACAAAGACAAATGCTGTATAATCTCATGTACATGTGGAATCTAAAAACAAAACAAAAAAAAGAATAACTGAACTCATAGATACAGAAAGATTGGTGGTTGTCAGAGGCAGGCAAAAAGGGTACAAAAAGGTTGGTCAAAAGGTACAAACTTCTAGTTATAAGATAAAATCCTAGGTATATGATGTACACCATGCTAACTATAGTTAACAATACAGTATTGAATATTAGAAAGCTGTTGAGAGAGCAGATATAAAAAGTATAATTCACTTAAAACTACTAAAAGAAATTCATATTAGAAAAATAAGATAATGGATCCATCATGGAACAAAAAATTCAATGTTGTAAAACTAATAAGGAAAAAAGGGGAATATTAAGTTTTCAAAGACTAGAAAGAATCCACACAATTTCACAGTACACCTACTTACATGGCATAATAAACTCCTGTGAGAAGCTGCACCATAAATTCGGGATCCAACACTATCCGACCACAGAGTTCTTTCCACTGCTTTTCGTGTTGCCGTGGAAACCCACTCACACAAACCCTAGGAAAATACATTACTTAAGTGTGATTTGCTGATTCATTAAATAAAATATTTTTGTTTTTATAAGTTCACATATTCAACACTTACTGAAATATTTTTTAAGTACTTGTTATGTGTCAGTCACTATCATGGGCCTATGCATACAGTTGTAAATAGGTAAAAAGATAAAAACCTATACTCTCACAAAACACACATTCTAGTGGACTATAGCAATAAAAGCAATGAAATGAAAAAGTTAAAGTTGCTCAGTTGTGTCCGACTCTTTGTGACCCCACAGACTATAGCCCACCAGGTTCCTCTGTCCATGGAATTCTCCAGGCAAGAATACTTGAGTGGGTAGCCATTCTCTTCACCAGGGGATCTTCCCAACCCAGGGATCAAACCTGGGTCTCCTGAATTATAGGCGGATTCTTTACTGTCTGAGCCACCAGACAAGCCCTCAAAGCAGCACCTTTTCTCAAATAGGTATCTCTTTCATAATCCTCCTTCTCCCTCTTCACAAAAGAAATGCATAACTTTCACACATCCCAAATTTTATCAGGATGGATTAGTGGATGATACAGAACTCTCAAAACAAATTTAAAGTATCATAAACAATCCTCTATTTTCCACCTCATTAAAAGATGCTTCCAGAAAAGTTATGTTTAATAATTAGCAGAGATGTTACATACCTCTACTATTTTAATAAATTAATTTATTAGAATAACTGCAATGGTGAGTTCAGAAAAAATTTTTTAGTGTTTAGTGCATTTTGGTCTCTGGCAATATTTTTATTTTTTTAATTTATATATATTTTTTGTGGCAGAGGTTTATAATTAGTTGATCAAATAAAAGATCTTTACATGTAACAGCACTATATTAGGACAAAATTTATGTGGATAAAGTGCAATAGATATTCAATTTTAAGGAGAAAGACTATTAAAGAAAGACTATTTTTCATTTATTTCATATATGGATGATGGTATCAATTAGATCACTGTGTATTTACATTATATACATTAAAATAGCAATTAACAATTATTTATTATGTTAATATCTACATACTGGAAATCATATAATTTACAACTATTTAAAAAAGAATAAAAAATTTAAATGTTAACTTAAAAATGTATAAAGGCTATAAAGTTTTTCAAAATTCATTAGGGGATATGTGAGTAAAAGTTTGAGGACTACTAAACTCTATATCATTTGTTATTAAGGAACTCTATAAGATGCCATACTAAATGTTACCTATTAGAGATATAGCAAATTTGTTTAATTGAGTCAAAAATAGTCATCTATAAGTAAATTTATCTGTAGCTATTCATTAAGTGCTTAAACAACATACTCTCTTGATAAGAACATCTAGGTTAGAATAGATACATGTATATGTATGGCTGAGCTCCTTCCCCTGTTCAACTGAAACTATTACATTATTTGTTAATCAGCTATACCCCAATACAAAATTAAAAGTTTAAAAAAAAAAAAACATGTAGATAAGAGACAAGAATTCTGTTAGTCATTAATCTTATTATTATACACAAGTGGAAATAATATACTTTAAAATAATCTACAAATCTATAAATCAAATTAGCAACTAGTTTAGATGGGCCTACCTCCAATTAGCAAGAGTGAGTTTTGTTATAAATAGGACCACAGTTTCTTCTCAGTAATATACCAGTATGAACCTGTGCAAAGCATTTGTAGTAGTGGTTGGGGGTGGGGCATGCAGGGCTGATCCTCATGATACCTTCCTGGTATTGACACCCTTATGTCATCCCCTCCTTTTGAGCATGGGTGGAACCTGTGATTTGCTTGTAACATGGCAAAGGTGATATGACTTTCATGCATATATGTACATGATTATGTGATTATATTACATAAGACTGTAGTGCAACATCTCTTATTTCTCTGCTTTGAAGAAGTGAGCTGCCATGCTGTAGGCTGCCTAAGTTGGGAGGCTCACCCGGCAAGGAACTGACACTGGCCTTCAGCAGACAGTCCATACGAAACTGAAGCCCTTAGTCCTACAACTATAGGAACTGAATTCTGCCAAGGTAAGCGTATAATTCCTCAAATGAACCTCAGATAAGATGGCAACTCCAGCGGACATCTTAACTGCAGCTTGTAATACCCTAAGCAGAAGGCCCAGCTAAGTGACACTTAGATTCCTGACCCATAGAAAACTGAAATAATAAATGTATGCTATTTTAAGCAACTAAATTCATGGCAATTTGTTATGAGGCAATAGAAAAACTAATATAGCATTTAACTTTCAGGGGGTAGAGAAGGCTCACCCTTTTTATTTGCATTTCCTCAAATAAAAATCAACCGGGCAGGATAAATTGAGTGTTCCTTCTGTAATTAAAATTCCCCTCCTCTGTCTCCAAACCAATTTATATTAAATTTTTTCAATGGTGGAAATAAAAATTTTAGTTCAGGTCTATTCAAATTATTAGAAATTCTGGTTTGGTAAAGATTAGAATATACAACTATAAATGAGATATATACATAATTCATCTACTGCTAATCTTATCCAAAGAAGAGACAGTTATTTGTGAGATACAAAAAGGAAAAAGTTCACATTTCTTTACTTTCTCTATACAGAAGACTATTTATTCAAAACACTCAGTGATTTATAAAAATTGGCATCCAGGCAGTGATCCAGTATAACAATAAACCACCTTGAACCCAAATCATCTTGGCTTAGCTTGATGTTGAGCTACAAAATACTTCTTTAATACTGAAGTATTTTCAAGAAGTCATGATGTATGAGGAATGATAAGGAATTCCTATAGGAATGTAAGTTCCCTGAGTTCTGTTTACTGCTGTATCACGAGGGGTTAGAACAGCGCCTACCAGCGAGAATGTGCTCAATAAAAATGTATGAAATAATGATAAGTATTCTGCTTACCTGGAGCCCATTCGGCAAAGAGACTGGTAAGATGAAGCAGGCATATATACAATAGCAGAATTATAACATAACATGAGAAAACTCAGGACTTCAAACCTAGAAAAAACAAAAACAAGGAGAAAAAGATCACAAATAATTATTTCTACTTACAGACTGTAGTAAATGATTTCTTCATTGGATGGTTATAACAATGCCTTAATATTGACTTTAATTATTTCTCAATCAGATCATTGTAATATCCTCCTCAATAATTCTCCTATTTCCATTTGCCTTATTAAAGGTCATAGCACTTGCTGCCATCTTTATTTTCTTCCTCAAAAATCCCCCATCATGCTTGAATAGATGACTTCTCTATCTGCATTAATTCACTGTTACTATTGACTGCATCGTAAAGCCCAAACTCATCAAGGCATACAAGGTCCTTTAAAAATCCACCCTCAACCTACCTCTCCAACCTTATTTCCCTCCACTGTCTACCACATACACCATAGGATAACAGTTTTTTTATATCATTCCATGAATAATGACATAATCTTTCATAATTCCTTGCTTTTACTGATGCTACCCTTTCTTACTACAACACTTTTCACTTGGAAAACCCCTACCAAGGTTTCAAATCCTGGCTCAAATTTTAATTTCAGACATAAAGACATTCTTAATTCTCCCAACTAAAACAAACAAAAACTATTCATTTGTATAGCTCTAATACAGTATTTATCCCACTAAATCAGTTCTCTGTCTCTACCTCTGTTTTATCCATTCAGTAATAAGCAACTTTAGGACAGAGACCCTAATTTACTCATCTCTAACTCTAGTGTCAGACACAGTGTTTAAAATATTATTATTGCTCAAATAATTTTTATTGAATGAATAAATGAATGCTTTCTTAATCTGTACAATCACTAAGAAAGTGGCTCCTAAGCCTGAATGCACACTATAGTTATTTTAGGACATTTTGGAATAATATATTCCTGTGTCTCAACACAGACTGACCCAATTAGAATCTCTGAGGGCAGGACCCAGGAACACAGTACTTATAAAAAGCTTTCCATAGGCAGTGAAGAGTATATTGAAAGTCTTTGTGCTACTTCTGAAATATTTTAAGTCAGAAATTATTTCAAAATGAAAAGTTAAAAATTGAGTTCCAAGTATGACACAGAAGCAGTTCACATCTTCAGATCCTTTCTCCTTCTCTATGCTGCTAGGTTCATTGAAGATTTATTTTCTGAAACTGAAGACTTATTTTCTGAAAGGATAAAAGAGAAATTTCTACCAGGGAACCACCAAGCACAATTGTGGTTTGGGCTGGAGTGGGGAGGATGGGAAGACACTGAAAATATAAAACTTAAGTAGAATAGGTCTTACTGGATACTGAGACCTCAAGTTTTCCTTCCCCACTTGACCATCAGAATGCTAGCAGCCTGCTGCTTAAGAAACTAGAAGAGTTTTCTTTAGAGAATTTGACCACCCTAAAAGGAAAGACTTAAAGATACGGACTTGGGAAGTTCCCCAGATGAATGGCCCAGTGAGAAGTTGTGAAGTTCATACTCAATCAGCCCCTACCAACATGGTCTTGACGTCTTATTTTTTAAAATTCCCTGCTCTTAAACATAAGTAGGGAAAAATGGATTATCAGACATCTGATGAACTTCATTAATAGAAAAATAAGGTCAAAATAAAGAAACAGGGGCAGGGGAACACAATTTGGAGGACACAATAAACATAAAAGAGAAAAAAAATAACTTTAAATAAAGCAAATTATCATTAATATTCTAAAAAATGAGATGCTGTTTCAAAAATAAAAAAACAACAAAAAAATCCAAATAGGAACTATTTTAAAAGACCATTCAGAATATACAAAATATGATGTATTTTGTCCATATCTTTAAGTCTTTCCTCTTAGGGTGGTCAAATTCTCTTCCAGATATACAAAATATGATGACAGAAATTAAATACTCAGGAACAGAACTGGTGGATGAAGTTGAGGAAATACCATAGAAAGTGAAGCCAAAGGAAAAAGATATGGCAAATGGAAGAGGAAAGAGTACCATAACAGGAGCTCCAAATAATAAAAGCTCCACAAGAAAGATAAGAAAAGACCAAATAAATTAAAGGACAAATAATAAAAGACTAGATAAGATGGAGAGGCTAAACTAATTAACAAAAAATAATTAAGCAAAGTTCCCAGTCTGAAGGACATGAGTGTCCAAATTGAAAAGGCCCATGTACTGCTCAGCACAAACAGGAAATAAACCCACAACAAGAAATATCACATGGAATTTCAGAATACTAGGAACAAAGAATGAGGATATAGGGTGCAAGAAACAGTGGCTCCATCCACACAGGAAGAAGACAAAGGGAATTCCCAGGGTAATAGTGAGCGGAAATACCAAGATAACAAGTAAACACCGGGTAAAGAGGGAAACACAGGCCAGATCGCAGTAAGTCGAGGCTCTGGGAGCTCCTTTTTCAGGAAAATAAAATTGAGAAAATAAGTGGTATAAACAAAGTTCTGGAAGGCTACGTAAAAAGCTGATAAAAGATTTACAGGGCTAAATTACAAAGCACATAGTAAACAAAGAAAACAAAAGGTCAAAGATGAACTTCAAACAAAAAGATAGAAGGAGAGGAAAAGTAACCCCTCACAAAGCTCAGCTCTGCATAGTCCTGGTGAGCAATGTTCATTCAAGGGGTTTCCCTGGTGGCCCAGTGGTTAAAGACTCCACAGTCCCAATGCAGGGGGCATGGGTTCAATCCCTGGTCGGGGAACTAAGATTCTGCATGCAGTACAGCATGGCCAAAAAATAAAAAAATCATTCATAGTAATGAGAAATTTAAATAATGAATTCTCCAGAATTACAAGATAACTATACTGAGAAGAAAGGACGAGAGGTAACAACCTAAATTTTTATCTTTCATAGAGATAAGTTATTAGATAATGCCCCAAAGTGAAACATTTTAAAGCAGTAAATTACTACGAAGATGGTAAATGTTAACAGCAAGATTTTTTGACCTCAGCACTGTCGACATTGTGGCCTAGATTGTTGTGGGGGGCCGGCCCAGGCGTGGTAAGACGCTGAACAGCATCCCTGACTTCTACACTTGAGATGCTTGTAGCAGTCTTCCCTCCCACTCAGCTGTGACAATCAAACAAGTCTCCAGACGCTGACAAACGTTCACCGAAGGGCAGAAGTGCCCTGGTTGAGAACCACTGGTTAAAAGCTGTTACATCTAGGAAAGGAGAAGTGGAAGTGACGGGGAGCCAGAGACTTCAGTTTTTCTTAATAATCTCTAGAACTAATGCATGTTTAACTTTGAAAAAAAAAAGTGTATTTCTGATATAGCTGACTGTACAAAAAAGTAAAACATATAGCAGAAACAACAGCACAATGATATACCATCTTCCATACCCACTAAGATAGATGTAAACAAAAAGATGGGGAAAAAAGAGTAGGTAAAGATGTTGAGAAACCGGAGCTATCACACACTGCTGGTGGGGCTGCAAGTGAACGTGCAGGTGAAGTCGCTAGGTCATTTCCGACTCTCTGCGACCCCGTGGACTGCAGTCTACCAGGCTCTTTTGTCCATGGGATATTCCAGGCAAGAGTACTGGAATGGGCTGTCATCTCCTTCTCCAGGAGATCTTCCCAACCCAGGAACTGAACCAGGGTCTCCCGCATAGTAGTCAGACGCTTTACCATCTGAGCCACCATGGTACACGATTCTGGAAAACAATATGTCTCTTCTCATACCAAACGTGAACCAAAGTAATCACAGCTAGCTATTAAGTGTAAATTAACAATTTTAACATCTACCGGTTTTGTGCAGTGAATGTTTCCCTCTGAGGATGAAGATCACTATAAACAACCCTGATGAGATCATGCTGACACAATGCCCCTTCTGTCAAGGCCATGGATCCAATTGTGGAGGGCTATAAAAACAAGGTAAAGTATGAGACTGTGTCTTTAAAATAAAGTAAAAATCTGTAACATAAGGATATTTAATTTTGCTTTAACAAAAGGCAATTCAGACCATTTCTTCTTCTCTTTCAAAACCTCTTCAATTTTTCAATTATATATGTTCTATAGCTCCTTTTAAAACATATATATGATAATATAAAACTAAAAATACACTGTTTTGATTTTTGAGATATTATGGAATGAATCTATAATTAGGACACAGAAAAAGAAAAGTTGCTTAAAAGAATAAAGACTACAAATGCAATAACTTTAATTTGTTTCCATAACTCAGAGCACTCTTGGGAACTATACATTCAAGCCCAGAGGTATGTCTAACTTCAGGGAGGCTGGTACTCTCATTAATCTTACATTAAGAAAGCAAGGTGTAGAGAGTTCTAATTGCATACTACAAACAAGAATAAATACTATGATCAAAAGTCTCTTTAATAGTGACATAATTGATTTCATATTTCTAAAGTTAGAATCATCAATTTGTGAATGTCTCACTACCCTCCATTTTTATTTTATAACTTGATACACAGAACACAGTTAAAATCTAATATTCAGAAATGTTCTATGCTAAAATCAGCCTTGGTTAAGTAAGAGGCATTCTATTTCCAATGAAAAACAAAATCCCAGGGGAATTAATTAAAAATAAATAGCTGCATTGAGTTATGAAGCAACTGGATACTGTTTGCTGTTAAGAAAATTGAATCTAATTTTTAGACTACTAGTAAATTAGTTAATTTAAATGCTTTCCTCACAACTTTATGCACTAAAGGCCCAATAGACAAGAAGCTTGATTCATAACATATATCCTTAAAGCGAGCAGGCAGGAGTTCAGGTCAATAGGAGCCATCCACCTACATAATTATTAGTGTTCTCACAATCTTCAACCAAATAAATACTGGAAAAATCAGAAATGTAAGGTTACTGAATATCTAGAATGCATCAATCAGACTACTTTAAATGGAAATAAAATAATTACTGTGTTAATATTCTTCTAAGTAGTTATTTTCCTAAAAAATAATAAAAAATCAATCTAACATAGATCATTTCTAATTAATATGGACGACTTTAAAATTTTAAAGGAATATTTCTAAAAATTCATGTAATAGAAAAGACCAGTGATGATACTGGTAGAAGAATAAAAAAGAAATAAACCAGAACTAGAGGGTAATTTTCCAATAATTAATATCTCTCTCTCCTGACAAGAGCTCAGCTTTATATCACTAATAACAAACATCTACATTAAAAAAAAAAATCTACATTTAAAGAAACAAATCTGTAAAGATGTGTTAGGAATAATTTATCTCTAGTAGAAACTGACTTTTGCTCGATATATTGATAATTTTAAAAAATTTTACCTCTCCAATCTTACTTACCTCATGGTATATTGATGGCTTGGATAAGGAAGGGATGGTAAAAGACAGAACTTTATTGTTTCCATCTTTATCAGCAATTTCCTATGGTTAAAAAAAAAAATCCAGAGATAATGAAATAGTTACACAAGTCTATTAAAAAATAATAATAATCCCTTTCTTAATTTAACAAATATATAATTGGCAACTGAGGAAGACTTTTAGAAATGGTAATAAAAATATTATTACCCTTGTGTATCTTTAACCAATTAGCAAATTTGTACACTTTGGTAGTTGACATGCTTTGGGAGACACTGAGAGATATAATAATACAATTAATCAAAAATACCATGAAAATAAAGACATGAAATAGGCACACATATAAATCCTCATGATAAATTTGCAGGACAGCCAGGGAGATTACAAGTAATCACATCTTTTAGTAGAAACTAGCTGAATTTAAAAGATTAATGGAATGATAACAGAGACGATTAGCATAGCCCCGGCCCTAGGATGACATGCAAAACTGTTAAGTGCTCCACATTTTTAGAATAGGAGAAAGTATTTGCAAATGATGTTACAGATAAAATATACAAAAGCTCATACAACTCAAGAACAAAAAAACAAACGGAACTGAAAAAAGGGAAGACCTTAATAGACATGTCTCCAGGGAAGACAAACAGATGGCCAGTAGGCACATGAAAAGATGCTGAAAGTGCAAGTCGCTCAGTCGTACCTGACTTTTTGCGACTCCATGGACTGTAGAGTCCATGGAATTCTTCAGGCCAGAATACTGGAGTGGGTAGCCTTTCCCTTCTCCAGGGGATCTTCCCAACCCAGGGATCGAACCCAGGTCTCCCGCGTTGCAGGCAGATTCTTCACCAGCTCAGCCACAAGGGAAGCCCAAGAACACTGGAGTGGGCAGCCTATCCCTTCTCCAGGGGATCTTCATGACCCAGGAATCAAACCAGGGTCTCCTGCACTGCAGGTGGATTCTTTACCAACTGAGCTATCAGGGAAGCCTCAACATCATTAATTTTAGAGAAACGAAAATCAAAACTACAACGAGGTACTACCTCACACCAGTCAGAATGGCCATCATTAAAAAGTCTACAAATAACAAATGCTGGAGAGGGTATGGAGAGAATGGAACCCTCCTACACTGTTGGTGGGAATGTAAGTTAGTAAAGCCACTATGGAAAATAGTATAGAGGTTCTTCAGAAAACTAAAAATAGAATTTGCTTATAAAAGATTAAAATTAAAGGTCTTAGCCAAGAGGTCTACACTTATTAAAAGAAAATCTTACAATTATTCAGTAATAAATTAATGACCTGAAATAAGCTACATATTAACATAATTATATGGTACTAGTCCAAGTGATTAATCATAAGTTCATACTTAATAGTTTTTACTGAACTACAGAAACATCCCTGTGATTTTTAAAAAGCATTTTATCTTTCACTGAAAAGGTCATGGCATTTATTTCTACAGTCTCTGGCACCTCCAGTCTTCTACAGGTATCAGTAAAAACCTGCCTACAGACGCCAGCAATTAGAGGGGTGAAATGCCCCTCCTGCACCAATCCTTTTATCTACTGTCTTATTATAATCTGTTTCGTTTAAAACCATATTAGTCTACATGACTGGCATAAAATCCAGAGAGAGACTACCCTTTGTAGACCTAGAAGGAAGGTGGTCAGAGAGATGAGTGGTTGTACAGCATAAAAGGAAGAAACAACAATAAAAAACAACTATCATCTCCAAAACACAAACCCAAAAGAACTTTCCTTGAGAACCAGTTTCTGAGTTTAATGTATCATAGGAGAGTATCAGTTGCCTGTGAACAATGGCCATACCTCTAATTCTGGCAGGAAAGTGGTTTAAAAATCCCTAGAGAAATCATTTAACCACTCTAGTCAAACTAGTTACCACATCTGAGCCACTTTGTCTCAGGAAAAAGTCTATACTAAGATGAATGGGCCTGATTTAAGTTATGGGATAAAATTTTAATTCTTATCCCTAAATTTCAAATTAAGTCAAATACTTTTGATTTTTATCCAGGTATATCTGTGAAGAAGGTGTTAGGCTACTGAAGCAAGGGAGAAGTGTTGGGGTGAGAAAAGAAGAAAAAAGAGAAATGAATACATGAAAGAAATCCAGGGTGGTAAGAAAAATTGAGAACCACAGAGATGAGAGAACAAAGATATTAAGGGAATTAAAAGAAGATAAGAAACCTGAGGTTACATTTATGATACATAATTGAGTGTTTTTAAAATAGTACACCATTTTTAAGATACCAAAAGGTAATTAAACCATAGCACCAACAAGTACTGTCAAGAATTTGTCAGGCATCCCAGAATTTTTTGCTTCATTTTTTCCACCACTGAAGTTTATTATACCAAACAGTACAAATGAAAACTTACATCAATAAACATTTGCTAAGCACTAGAGACATGATGATAGATGAAACAAAATTTCCTATTTTCAAAGAAAAAAAATCAGGCAAGGTAGCAAAATAATTTTATACCTACACCAGCTTTTCATTAAAACTCACCTTTAATTATGACACCACTTCTATTACTACTACTACTTATAATAACAGTAGTAAATATTCAATAAACACCTCAGACAACACACTGGGTTCTTCTAACTGCTTTTAATACTACTATCAATGTTTTATTTCTGTTTTACAGATGAGGCAACTGACATCAAGATATTATGTAACTTGCTTAAATTTAAAACAGCCAGTAAGTGGCAGGGCCTATTTTTAAACAAAATACAAGTGACTTCAAAGGTGAGGTTTCTTCCTTCAGATTTCAGTGATGGAAATGTTCTTTAATATTTTTAAAGAGATAATGCTTAAGAGAAATGGGCACTGGTGCAGAAGAATATTTTTTGTAGACTCAAATGTTTTGTGAGGTACTTTGGTTGAGGTACCTCTCATCTACAAACATAGTTTTATTATGTGGAGTGTTTGTTTACAGGGAATACACAGAATACAAGAATTCAAGGGGTTGGAATCTCAACACCAATGTTCTAAAACCATGAGAAAAAAAAAACCCAGAATGTTTAAGGTACTTAAGAATTTCTTAAAAGTAAAAAATTTCATGAATAATACAGTATCAGATACATAATGTTTTATCAAATGATTATTAAAAATTTTTAATGCAAGGCATTTACAAATTAGTCAATTTAGAAATCAGAAAAATAAGCCATAAATTAATAATTTCATCAATTATAACAGCTTCACCTACTTTATTAAATGCATTACTAGCACACATTGAACACCTGTGTACTCAATTTAATTAATTCAAATAAGTTATTCAATAGACATTTAAATTTCTTTTCCTCTAACTATTCTGTAAGTATTATTTCAGAAGACTTAAAAAAAAAATTTGACATCTTCCAAACTATTATTTTCCACTTACCAAATTGTAAATTCCTAACAGAAGTGCTTCAATGCAACCATTACTCTGTCTGTCTCGGCTAACTGTAAGCCGTAAATAAACCCACATCAACTCTGGCAAGAACTGCAGTGTGAACCTCTTAAGTCGAACTTCAGAGCTACGATAGAGCTCAAACAGCTGGTGGCAGACAGGCTCCAGGAGCTAAAAAGAAAATAAAGTGCATTAGCTATTTCCATTCTTTTGGCTGTAACTGTGTTTTTTTAAGGCACATATACTTGTATTTTAAAAATAAATTCTCAATATTAATTTTTGCCTATTCAAAATCAGTGCAACCAAACCTCAATCTCTATTTATACAGAAACTACACACTGAACTGACCAATTCTATAAGAAGTCGTTCATGCCCATTTAGTATCAACATCTCTTTCAACACACTATACTATTTAACTTCTTAGATAATCAGTCCTTTAACTAATATACTAGTTTACAGTTAGTGAGTTTCTTTTTCTGTTCCTACCAACCTTACAATCTTCCATTTTTAAAAATTTCTATTGGAAGAAAAGAATGTCAAATGTTATTGCTGGAAATAAATTTTAAATTTCAACTTTGAGTTCAGTTCAGTCACTCAGTCATGTCCGACTCTTTACGATCCCATGGACTGCAGCATACCAGGCTTCCCTGTCCATCAGCAACTCCCAGAGCTTGCTCAAATTCATGTTCATTGGTTGGTGATGCCATCCAACCATCTCATCCTCTGTCGTCCCCTTCTCCTCCTGTCTTCAATCTTTCCCAGCATCAGGGTCTTTTCAAATGAGTCAGTTCTTCGCATGAGGTGGCCAAAGTATTGGAACTTCAGCTTCAGCATCAGTCCTTCCAAAGAATATTCAGGACTGATTTCTTTTAGGATTTACTGGCTGGATCTCCTTGCAGTCCAAGGGACTCTCAGAGTCTTCTCCAAACCACAGTTCAAAAGCATCAATTCTTCTGCGCTCAGCTTTCTTTACAGTCCAATTCTCATATCCATACACGACTACTGGAAAAACCACAGCCTTGACTAGACGGACCTTTGTTGGCAAATTAACATCTCTGCTTTTTAATATGCTGTCTAGGTTGGTCATAACTTTCCTTCCAAGGAGTAAGCATCTTTTAATTTCATGGCTGCAATCACCATCTGCAGTGACTTTGGAGCCAAAAAAAATTAAGTCAGCCACTGTTTTCACTGTTTCCCCATCTATTTTCCATGAAATGACGGGACCGGATGCTATGATCCTAGTTTTCTGAATGTTGAGTTTTAAGCCAACTTTTTCACTCTCCTCTTTCACTTTCATCAAGAGGCTCTTTAGTTCTTCACTTTCGGCCATAAGGGTGATATCATCTGCATTATCTGAGGTTATTGATATTTCTCCCAGCAATCTGGATTCCAGCTTGTGCTTCCTCCACCCCAGCGTTTCTCACGATGTACTCTGTATAGAAGTTAAATAAGCAGGGTGACAATATACAGCCTTGACGTACTCCTTTTCCTATTTGGAACCAGTCTGTTGTTCCATGTCCAGTTCTAACTGTTGCTTCATGACCTGCATACAGGTTTCTCAAGAGGCAGGTCAGGTGGTCTGGAATGCCCATCTCTTTCAGAATTTTCCAAAGTTTATTGTGATCCACACAGTCAAAGGCTTTGGCATAGTCAATAAAGCAGAAATATAAATGTTTTTCCGGAACTCTCTTGCTTTTTCGATGATCCAGCAGATGTTGGCAATTTGATCTCTGGTTCCTCTGCCTTTTCTAAAACCAGCTTGCACATCTGGAAGTTTACAGTTCACATATTACTGGCTTGGAGAATTTTGAGCATTGCTTTACTGGCGTGTGAGATGAGTGCAACTGTGTGGTAATTTGAGCATTCTTTGGCATTGCCTTTCTTTGGGATTGGAATGAAAACTGACCTTTTCATTTAAAGACATATAAATAAAATAGATTACTTTTATATTTTAAGACTGACTTAAATCTTGCTAATTGTATTTACTGGAAAGACTTTGAAAAGGAGGAAGTATACAGAAATAGCCCTTCCAATGTTTAACTTGATAATTTTTCATATAATATCACAAAATATGACATAAGGAACTTCATAATCTTAAGAAGAAAATGGGCAGTTTTAATAAACCTCTTCCTTCCTCCTAAACTTATACTGCTAATTTAGAATGGTGTTGCTAGAATAACTTCACAAAACTGCTAGACTACACAAAACTGCAGCTAAAACACTGAAAGGAAACTACAAAATAATGTAAATTAAAATTTAACACCAGCTTTTTGTTTTTCAAAAAATTTTTATTGGTGTATATTGATTTACAAGGTTGTGTTAGTTTCAGGTATATAGCACAGTGAATCAGTTACACATATACATATACCCACTCTTTATTTTGCTGAATCCTTTTCTTGTATTTATTAACCATCTAAAATTTAGAGAGGGCCTGACATCATTCAAACTGTGAGACTCAGGAAGTAGGTTCGTGGTTTTTTTAAAAGAAGGATGAAACATACCATCTTGGCCCTCGGCAGTGCTCACAGAATTGTATTTGAATAAATTTGTTAAAGTTTGACAGACCTAAGGGATGAGCTTTGGCTTCCTTGGTGGCTCAGAAGGTAAAGAATCTGCCTGCAGTGTAGGAGACCTGGGTTCAACCCGTGGGTTGGGAAGATCCCCTGGAGAAGGGAACGGCTACCCACTCCAGTATTCTGGAGTTTCGTAAGACAGAGGAGACAGGTGGGCTATAGTCCATGGGTCACAAAGAGTCAGACATGACTGACTGACATGACTGAGTGACTGACTAAAGCATGAGCTCAGGTGTAATAGGGGAAAAAAATTACTGGACTAGGTCAAAGGTATCATTTAACATACTAGGGGAGGGGTATTCACTGTCAATGGTTGTCATGAGAGAGATTCTTCAAATTAGACATTTTAACAAAATATCCACTCTTTTGTAGATTCTTTTCTCATATTGGTCATTACAGAATTATTGAATAGGGTTCCCTGTGTTATATAGTAAGTCCATATTAGTTATCTATTTTACATATAATAATGTAACAGTAGCTTTAAAAAAAGGAATAATTCAGTAATTTATATACTTCTATTCTAAATGATAATATATATACACACTTGTAAAACTGCTTGAATGTAGATATGTTTCTAATAATGTAACACTTCAGAACAAAGTCATTACTTTCACAATAGTAAATTAAAGTCAACAATTCTTACATTGCTTGTACAGTTAGTATTATTTAGATGACTTAAGCTTAACTCTTAAGAACTCTAAAGCCAAAAAAAATTTACATACTTTCTAGTCTACTAACCACCAAATGCTTTATATGAAATCACTATCATAGAATTTAAAATCTTAAAAATCATGCCAACTCTCCCCTTACACTGAAGTACAGACCAGTAAGACAATTTGCCCAAGGTCACAGAAATTAGTGGTGGAGAAAGACACCAGAATTCAGATCTTTTGACACAGATGCTGTTTTCACTATACGACTCTTCTTATACCAGAAAGGAGGTGGAGGAAGAGGTGAGGATTGCTTAATTTCAAGCAGTATAGTCTATGTAGTGCCAATAATGAAGTAATGAACTCTTGAAAATGGCCAACTGCTGGTAGCTTTTTAAAGTACTGACAACAACATTCAGCTCTTGAGGGGAATTAAAAATTGTTCCCTTCATAAATTTATGTATTGAAAATATATGTCTATGTCTTAAATCTACTTTCCTCTTTAGTAAGATGCTAAAATTGCCTTCTCTAAATTTCATTGGCTGTGGTACTATTATGATTTGTCTATATTATAAAGACCTTATTTCCTGTCCTCAGTAGCAAGTACATTAGCATGTAGAGACTATATTTTAATAAGCACTGCAAAGAAATATAGATTAACCAAAATTAGTACTTTTTTTGTTTAAAAGGAGGGCAGAGGAGTGACTGGCAATCCAGTAAATTTTCATCAGATACCACTGCAAAATAAGACTATTAAAAACTGGCCAATGTACTGTTAAAATCTTTAATTCCAAGCGTATATATCATGCCATCATGTTCTCAGTTTCTCAGTATCAGAAATGACCTCCCCACAGAGTTTGAAAAAGAGAAAGGTACTTCCCTGGCAGTCCCCGGGGTTAGGACTCTGTGCTTTCACTGCCAAGAGCCTGGGTTTAATCCATGGTTGGGGAACTAAGATCCTACGTGCCATTTGGCCAGCATATAAATAAGTAAATAAATAGACAGAAATATAGGTAGATAGGGCTTCCCTGGTGGCTCAGATGGTAAAGAATCCTCTTGCCAATATAGGAGATGCAGGTTCAATCCATGGGTTAGAAGATCCCCTGGAGAAGGGGATGACAACCCACTCCAGTATTCTTTCCTGGAGAATTCCATGAACAGAGGAGCCTGGTAGGCTACAGTCCATGGGGTTGCAAAGAGTCAGACATAACTGAGCAACTAACACTTATACTTAAATGGTGCTATCACCTACAGCAAAAGATGTTAAGAATAACTTACACTTTCCTCAAACTTAGCAAATAGTTTTGACATGATAATTACTAAGAGGCATGCCATATGCTGAATGCATCGAGAGCAGTCTGGGTGGAATAATGGAGACTGAATCCAAACATGAGTGGGTAATGAAAAAATATGAGGAGAGGAAATGAGCACAAGTAGGCAGAGGCTGAAGAGCAACACTATAAAGTTCACTGGGAAGGGGGACAGGAAAATGTTGTAGATAAAATAGGAGGCAAATCAAAGAAGGTTTTTAAAAAACAGAATGTTGTTGTTTATCATATTCCTTTCATCAAGAAAGGGAAAAAAATCAATAGAAGAAAAATAGCAGGCAATTGCAGGAGCAATCTTTGAAGTGGTTAGAGAAGATGAGATCCAGGCCTAAGTGCAAGAGATAGTTTTTGATACAATCTGAGACACTGCATCCACTGAACAGCAGAAATAGCAGGAGAGTTTGACTATAGATGCTGGCAGAAGGGCAGATTTGAGTAGGAAAATAGTTTCCAACTATTTCCTTCTTTTATAACAACACAGAAAGCAAACTGAAAATGAGGAAGAATGGTAAGTGTGAGGAAAAAGAAGGAATAAAATGAACAGTGGGAAAGTGTACAATGAACTATTATATGCTCATTTTTAATTTTCAGTCCTGCATTTAAGCGGAGAAAGTCAACAAAACTGCTTTCTCCAGGTACGGTGAGGCGCTCAGGTACAGGCATGAAGCGGACGGATGGGCGGGTTTCATGCAGTGCTGAGGTTCTGCCTGAAGGGTGTGAATGAAGGGGCTGAGGAGGTGTGCGAGTGAATGACTGTAATGAGGGACCGAGAGAGCGTGGCTGAGAGAAGAGGGAACTGAGCAGTTAAAGCATAGAGAAGCAGTAGGGTCAGTGGTTTTCTGGAAGTGGAAGAAGCAGAACTGCTGCAGTGACTAAGGGATCTGGAAGGAGGGAGAAGAGAAAAAGAAACATGTTGGTCTAGAGATTAAACGAGTTATACAGTACAGATTGGTCATGATATGGAATATTAAACTTCTACAGGAATTTCCTGGCAGTCCAGTGGTTAGAACTCAGCCAGGGAATTCCCTTCATGTATTTCACTATTCTTCTAATCAATATTTACTAGTGATAAAATACTACATTCTAGGGAATTAACATACATATATCTATATATATATAAACAGATATAAAAATATAGAACCGCTGCCCATGAAGAACTTACAATTTAAAAAGAAAGCATAAAACAAATATATTTTAATAAGCAAAGCTTAATGTTAAGACAAAACAAGGGAATACATACATTCAATATTCACACAGAATTCTAAAAACTCCTGACCAAGAAGGATAAGCATATGTGTCCATTACCATACCTAAAGTTACAAAACATTCAAAAATACATAGCAAGAGAAAAAGAAGCAAATGAGTCCTGCGGTTGCTGCTACAAATAGCAACAGATGCAAGCCCAACTGAGAGCCAATCCAAGTTTAGGAGATAGGAAAGAAAGAGGTCAATAAGCAAGCTTTTAGTGATAGGACAAAAATGAAGATGCACTTTAAGTTAAGCTGCTGGTTAGGAGATGATTACCTGAACTTCTTCAAACTCACTCCAGTACACAGCAGAGGCACTCTTGGAGGCTGTATCTGGGAAGATAAGAAGCTACTTTCCTGTGTGTTCCTTTCATTTCATTTTAAAGCATACATGAATCCAGTGGTGATAAAACTGTATGTCATACTATTGTGTTAATGGAAAGATAATGTGTGTATTTTGCATAAGTTAACATATAGAGTCAATAGCTCCACTATTTTTCCCCTTCTAGCACAAGGCTAAACAACAGCAAACTCTTACTCTAAGTTTATTGATCGTGACTATTTAGGCTTTCTCTGGTCATTTTCAAGCTAAATTTATTAGCAGCAACATTTCACGTTACCAGTTTGACTGAATTCTCTGATTAGAGTGATTACACAGAGTTCTATACTGTCAATAGAAGGACTGCAAACAATACTTAAATAAATCTCAAACCGTGGATGGCTAAAATTTAGATTCCAGGAAGGAAACATTTCAAAACAGGTAACAAGGAAAGTTTCAAATTTAATAAATACTCTCCTAAGATGGAGGTCACTCAAACCAAGAATTAAAATATGCTGTCCTCAACTGGAACAAATTCAATCAAAACATTAAAAAATATGGAAAGGGAGGTCATGGGGAAAGCCAAAGCAACTATCAGAATGAAAAAAAGCAGAAAGAGAGTTTTCCAGTCCCATTGGAAGGATTAAACAAAAAAAAAGGAAAACTACAAAACTTACATATATGTATTTTAGTACACATATTTCTTATGCAGTACAATGAAATCATTTTTCTTATAAACTGTCCTACCTCATTATTTGAGTCTTGAATAACTTTATAGAGGGCTGGTACCAGTGTTTTTTTCCGGTGTAAAGTTGCTGCATAATTGGTGATCTGAGTGTCAGGTAATGCCTAAAAGAAACATCAAAGGAAACTTAAAGTGAACTTAATATTTGAGAAGTCAAAAATTTAAATTTATATCAGTCCCTCTCAAAAAGATTTATAACAGAGTCAATTAAGAAAAGTAAGAAATAATTAATATATGAAATAACCATGAGCTAATAAAACAAATAAATTAGGACGTTATACAATTCTTCTAACTAGTCAACCATGAGAAATGATTAGAAGTCACATATTACACAAGCTTTGCTGAAATGAGTCACTTTAGTCAAAAAAAACAGCGTGGGATATATTTCAATTCCTATATTTTATTTTCACAAAACACTTATTTCTATAGTTAATAAATTATACAGTTTTTAGTCAAATTAATGAGTGATTTTTAATCACAGGAAATAAAAACATAAGGCACAAATTTGATTTCCATGCCTTATTAAAGCTTGGAGGCTTCCCTTCTTTTATTGAATATATCTTAAAATTTATATATTACCTGATCAATCTTAACAACTAGATTCATTTTTACATAGTATCTTCTGGCCATAATTCGCATTTGTTGTTGTCGTTGAGTCACTAAGTCATGTCCGACTCTGTGTGACCCCATGTACTGCAGCAGAGCAGGCTTCCCTGTCCTTCACTATCTCCCAGACTTGTTCAAACTCATGTCCACTGAGTTGGTAAAGGCATCGAACCATCTCTGTTGCTCCCTTCTCCTCTTGCCCTCAATCTTTCCCAGCATCAGGGTCTTTTGCAATTATTCACATTAGTGTCTTTTTAAAGAGGTGCAATGATAGAAACAAGTTATTTCATATTCTGCCATTCCCATTTTGTAACTTTTGTGTCAGTTTCTCCATGAACACACACACTGAATTATGACATACAGAATCATATGACACATTCTCATTCTCAATGCAATTTACCTTGAATTCTGATAACCATTCTTCCACAACACCACGTTCAGATCCCAGCATCTTCTTCTACCTTCTATTCCTCTTTTCTGGAAGAAATAAAAGGGAAAAAAAGCACTGAATTTGAGGACAGTGTTATTTATAGAAACTATCAAAGTAAATCATGTGTACCTTTCATTGAAGGAGAAACTCATCTAGTGCATATTATAGATAAGGAGGCTTACTTTTAGACTGCCTTACTGGAAGTAGCTTCAGTCGTGTCTGACTCTTTGCAATCCATGGACTGAAGCCTGCCAGACTCCTCTGTCCATGGAATTCTCCAGGCAAGAATACTAGAGTAGGTTGCCATGCCCCGCTCCGGGGACCTACTCGACCCAGGAATCGAACCTGTGTCTCCTGCGACTCCTGAATCGCAGGCGGATTCTTTACTGCTGAGCCACTGGGCAAGCCCCAGTTTCAGACTAGTGTTCAATTAAAACAAAATTGTTTATAAAGAAATAAGTTCTATCTTTAATGTTTGAAACCTAATTTCCTAATGCTTTTATATTTTCCCCAACAACTATATTCCAAAGTAACAAAAGCTAGTTTACTAAGTAAAATCAAACTGCACATTACCCAAGACAAACGTACAGTCCATGCCTAGTGTGTATGCTTAGTCGCTCAGTTGTGTCCGGCTCTTGCGACCCCACAGACTGTAACCTTCCAGTCTCCTGTGTTCATGGGATTTTCCAGGCAAGAATACTGGAGCAGGTTGCCATTTCCTTCTCCAGGGGATCTTCCCGACCCAGGAATCGAACCCAGGTCTCCTGCATTGCAGGCAGATTCTTTACCGACTGAGCTACAAGGGAAGCCCTGCTTTTACCAAATATACAACTGGAATAAGTTATACATAATAGAATAAACAATGTGACAGATTTTTACAAAGGTAAAAAAGTTAGAAATCAAGGGTCATGTATGTACAGCAAAATGATGATAAACATATATGTACATACACACTATACAAAATAAAGCCATTGAAGTATGTTTTCTAAAATGGAAAAATGTCCAGGTAGAAAAAGCAAGTTGTATAATAGTATGTAAGTTACAATTCCATTAAAAATTATGTAAATGTGAAAAGCTGGGAGGAAAAATATATACACTATTCAGTGACTTTATTTTTCTGGGCTCCAAAATCATTGCAGATGGTTACTGCAGCCATGAAATTAAAAGATGCTTACTCCTTGGAAGGAAAGTTATGACCAACCTAGACAGCATATTAAAAAGCAGAGACATTACTTTGTCAACAAAGGTCCGTCTAGTCAAGGCCTAGACAGCATATTAAAAAGCAGAGACATTACTTTGTCAACAAAGGTCCGTCTAGTCAAGGCTATGGTTTTTCCAGTGGTCATGTATGGATGTGGGAGTTGGACCATAAAGAAAGCTAAGCGCCGAAAAACTGATGCTTTTGAACTGTGTTGTTGGAGAAGACTCTTGAGAGTCCCTTGGACTGCAAAGAGCTCCAACCAGTCCATCCTAAAGCAGATCAGTCCTGGGTGTTCATTGGTAGGACTGATGTTGAAGCAGAAACTTCAATACTTTGGCCACCTCATGCAAAGTGCTGACTCATTTGAAAAGACCCTGATGCTGGAAAAGATTGAGGGCAGGAGGAGAAGGGGACAAAAGAGGAGGAGAAGGGGACAAAAGAGGATGAGATGGTTGGATGGCATCACTGACTCAATGGACATGAGTTTGAACAAGCTCTGGGAGTTGGTGATGGACAGGGAGGCCCGGCGTGCTGTGGTTCCTGGGGTCACAGAGTCAGACATGAGTGAGCGACTAAACTGAACTGATTCAGTGTTTGCCTCTGAAGGAAGGATTAACTGAGGATATTCTAATTGTGTAACTCTGAATTACAAAAAAAGTAAAAATACATATGTATTATTTTTTAAGTGAGGCAGACAACAAACAGTTTTGGGTTTTTAAGACTCAAAAGGGTAACCAAAAGAAAAAAGAAATTTCTTGAGTAAGGAGGGAAATGTCTCCAAAGCAACTGAAATGAAAGTTTCTTTACTAAAAAGACAATATTTCCTGAATGAGTCACAATCCATAATAAATTTCTATCTAAAAAAAAAAGAAACTGGATTTTCTAATCCGCGCAACATTCCCTAAATATCCATATATAATGCACTATAACAAGGAGTACAAAAAGGAGTAAGAAATGCTCATTTTCAAGTAGCAAATGCTTTTAAGATAGGCTGGCGGATTTATTCAAATAAACTGCAAGAGGAAAATGAGTGGATTAAAAGAGATGTTAAAAAAGTCAATAACTAAAATATGAATCTTACTTGGATTCTGATTCAAACATTAAAAAAGAGCTTAACATAACTGGAAAAGGTTAAACATGACTTATTGTATGACTTAATACTGGATGATATTAAATCAAGGAACAATCAATTATTTTATATTTAATAATGGTATTATAGTTAAGAAATTTCCCATACACTTATGGCATCACCAAGTTAACCGACATGAGTTTGAGCAGACAACGGGAGATAGGGAAGGACAGGGAAGCCTGGCGTGCTGCAGTCCCTGGGGTCACAAAGAGCCAGACATGACTCAGCGACTGAACAACAACAAAAAGTCCCACATATATTTGGAACTATTTATGAGTTATTATTCCCAATTTTGTACCAGGACTATAATATTTTAATTACTGTGGCTTTATAACACACTTTGTAAATATACAGTCTATGGGGTTACAAAGAGTTGGACATGACTGAATGACTAACACTTTATAATAGTACAAGTCCCATATTAATTTTTTCCTAAAAATGTATTTCATAATTATTGCCTGCTTTATTCTTCCAGTTAAATATTAGACTTTTACTGATAACTTTCTTTTCTATACTCCATCCTCATAGGAATTAAATTTACAAATTAGTTTCAAATGACATCCTCACATCATTGAGTCATCCAATACAGAAGCATAGCATTGCTCTTTATTAAAAATCTTCTTTTTCATGCCTATATAAATTCCATGTTTTCTTCACACAGATCAACACATTCAAATTAAGTTGATTCCTACATAAAATCTTCTCTGTTGGTTGGTTCCAGATCCACTGTGGATACCAAAAGCCAAGGATACTCAGTTCCCACAGCCGGCCCTCCCTATCAGCAGATTCAACCAACCACGTACTGTGTAGCACTGCATGTATTTACTGAAAAAATCTGAGTATAAGTGGATTTGCTCAGTTCAAACCAGTATTGTTCAAGGGTCAACAGTTTATAGTTTCTTGTTGCAACTGTGATTCTTTTTCATCATTTCAAACTAGCTATTGTTACACACACAAAAATAAATACTTTAAAAAAATGAACAAGTTTTTAGATAAATATTCAAAATACTGAAAATGACTTAAATTAAGATTTATTTCTATGTTTTAGGAAATACCTATACTTTGACTACAACTGACTTCTTTATAGAAAAGGACAACAAAAAGCAAGTACAATTAATCAAAAAATTTTCAAATTCTTTACAAAGAACATCAACAGCTTTTAAAATTAAAAAGAAAATCAAACATTATTTTTTGAAAGCAGCACAAAACTTTTTAATCTGATATATACTTCACTGGAATCCCTAACTGATACAGAGCCCAGAATATACATTTTGAAAAAGTTCTCCCAAGTAATCCTGATGACCACCTTCAGTTAAAAAAAAAAAGTATTACATCCAAGTTAAATTTCTCATTTATTTTTTTTTAAATTTCTCATTTTAAATTTCTATATGATATCTCCCATAAAAACAAATTTGCCGTGTCAAATCATTTAGTTTCTATCAATACTATTTTTTTATGTGACTGCAAGTTAATTAACTTTAGACAGAAGAATATAGTGGTGATAATAACAATTATAACCAAAACACCATACTTCCCTGATTTTATGATACTAATTTTAAGACAGTAGTTTATTAACAAATTTAAGTAGAAAATAAGAAATAATCCTTTATTAAAATGAAACAAAATGCTTAATTAAAGGATAAGAGCACAAGCTTATCCATATAATCCCGTAAGACTTTTAAAAATTACCCCTTACATTTCTGGCCACCGTTAGTCTCGTCACACTTGCCACACTCTCCTAGCTCTTTATATATGGCTGTTCAATGTCAACCTCTTCACAGAAGTCCCCTGTGTCTGCTCTATTTATATTGGCTGCCTGCACATGCTCTTCCCTCCAACCCTTAACACTCTGTCCTTTCCTTCATATCATCTTAGCAAAATCTGTAAATTATCTTTTTTTTTTTAATGAGGCATAGCTGACGTACAATGTTCTAATTATTTACTTACTGTTGGCTTTCCCACTAGAATTTGTACTTCACAAGGACAGGCACTGTGTCCCAAGTGCCAGGCACATAGCAGGTACTCAAACATCTGATTTAATTATTTGTGCTCATGAACTCAATTTATTTAGCACCTTCGCAATGACACTTATTTTTGGTTACAACAAAACCTAAAATATCTTCTGCATTTTCTGTTTAATTAAGCTTAATAATTTTATTTTTTCCAAATTAAATACAGATGGAAACTAATAGCCTCTTTCAAAATCATCCAGAAACTTCTGACAGGCAGATATTCTCCCAGATATATGAGTCATTCATACTAACCTTGCTCAGGTCTGAAATTAAGAGACAGAGATCTGGCAATTCTGCCGTCTTTGAATTAACTGCCATGTGTCAGGCATTCTTCTGCTGAGAAAATTATTACTGCAAAACTGTATTATACTGTGACATTTTGTAGACATTTTAAGTAACAATCAGGGGCAAAAATTCAGTTAACAATTCAACCCTATGTGGTTTTACTAAAATCAACTGAAATGATAACTGACTAAATGAATACACAAAGCTAAATTCCCAACACAAAATATAAATGATTACTGCTATTTCAAAATTTACTTGCCTGGCTGCTGAAAAGCATATTTGGGCAATATACATCTTAATTTCAAAAATGTGAAAAAATGTGTCTTGAAAGTGAGAAAAAAGAAAGTTATCAGTGAGCCTTTTAATTATGAACACTGTATCAGCTGCTTTTTGG